GCTTGATCGGGTTTGTCTATAGGGAGCAAGTCCTCGGGACGTTCACGATCAAGGACAAGGCAGGAGTAGGTGGAGTCGGGGTTGTGACGGGCCAGGTGGAGAAACTGGTGGGGAGTGACGGAGTTTTGGGAGGTAGGGTGGGGGAAATAGGGGATGTTGATGGGCGTGTCGGGGGGGTTGGTGAGGCGGAAGAAGTCGGCGTGGAACGAGTATGGCACATAGTGGTCCAACCAAGTTGTTCCCAAAATGATGTCGCACATAAAGTGCATGACATCGAATAAGACCTGATTGCGTTGGGTTTCGACGGTCACGGTGGTATCGGGAACCATGTAGTCTACTACGACGATGGTGTCTTTGTCCCCTAGACGAATGGTAATCGGGGAGTCGTAACCGGTAGAGGTGAGACTGGCTTTTCTGACACACGCGTGAGTGATAAAGTTACCAGTAGCTCCAATGTCAAGGAGGGCCGAAACTTGGTTGTAGATGCACCAAGGGTGACGACGATAAACTTGAGGTGGAAGCGGGATGAGTAGGAGGTGGAGATGATGGCGTTGAGGCGGTGTTGTTCAGTCCCTAATTTGATAAGCCGATTGTGTCGGGGTTGTTCTTCAACAACATCAGAGAAGGTGACGGAGGATGGATTCGGGAAAAGGGTAGAGGAACATGTACCAGAGAAGCGGCGTGAGGTGATGTGTGGGGATCATCCGGTGGGAAGTGCGTCACCGCGGAGGGGGGGGGGGATGTAGACGAATTGTCGATGCCAATTGGGGCATTGGTGGAATAGAGGTCGTCACCGATGGGATTGCTGGCAGGCTAGTCGTCAATGTCAGGTCACGTTCGTGGCGATCCTTGGGACAGTGTTCAAGTGGAGGGACCGGAAGTGGCGGATGGTACGGTCGCAAAAGTGGCGGGTCAGGGAACCGCTTGTTTGGCCTTTGGACAGTTTGTCTGTTGATGGCTTAACTGTCGGCACCGGAAACATCCACCCTTAGCTTGGAGGTAGGTTCGCTCCTCCGGCGTGAGTTTCGTGAGACGGGTTGGGTGGGTATTTATAGGAGGACGGCTGGTTCGTTCTCTCTATTCCATCCGCATAAGGTGGATGGCGGAGAGTTTGTCAGAGGAGAGCGATGCGGTGTCTAGTGGATCGGAGAGGATGTCAGGGTCGGGGGCAGAGAACTCGTCCGAGGAGGCAGAGAGAGAGGTTTCGGTGATGATGTTATGAAAGAATCGTGGGTGGGGTGGAACGGATGTGAGTGCGTCTTTGTACGGGGTGAGGAATTTGTCTAGGTGAATGGCGCGGTTGAAGAGATCGAAGAGGGACATCAGGGAGTTTGAAGTGGGAGATGAATGAGGCATCGCTGACGTAGTCAAGGGGGATATGTTGCCGCAGCGCACAGAGGTATTGGACAAAACGGTCGGTCGAGCCGTTCTATCGAAGGCAACAAAGTTGCCTAAGTAGTCATCGACCGTCTTATGAGGTCGGAATGTGCAAGTGATGAGGTTGGCCCACTCGAGGAAGGAATAGGGGTCCATGTTTGCTTGTTGGCGGTTAGCTCGTTCGGTGTACCACCAACGAGCGGAGCCTTCCTGTAAACTGGTGCTGGCAATAGGGAGCCAGTGTGTGACAGGGACGTTGTGGAGGGAGAAGGCGTCGTAGAGTTTGCTGAGGAAGACGAAGACGTCCTCGCGGGGAAGGCCAGCGAAGGGGGGGATGTCCATTGATCGGAAGGATGGGGAAATGTTACCCATTAAGGGTGTTGTGGTGGCGAGGGTGTTGAAATCAAGTTTGGGTGAGGAAGACGGTACCCGGGTGAAATCGGTGGTGGGGTTGGTCGGGAGGAGTGCGAATGGAGGAAGTATTGGAAGAACGTGGAGCAGGGCTCGTGGTGTGGAAGTGATCCGGGTATAGGTGTTGAGGGTGGAAGTGATAGTGGATGAAGTCATGAGAGGTTTTCACTGGGGGGGAATGGTGGACGACTGCGTGACGGCGGGGGTTGTCCTCTTGTGCGGTGGGATGACGGTGGTGGAGGCAGTGGTGGAAGAAGGCGGGGGTGTGGATGGCGTGCTAGTGGAGAGGGCGGTGGATGTGGAGGCGGAGGATATGGGAAGTGTGGTGGAACTCGAGGTGCGGCGGGGGGGACATGGTGGTGACGATCTAGATGGCGGGTAAGGCCTGTTGTTGTTCGACAGTGGCTATCCGTTGGGAAAGGCCGGAGAGGGATGCTTGCAGGAAGTTGAGGGTGCCTTCCATGGTGGTCATGAGGGAGTGGAGGGTGGAGGAGTCAGCGGGGAGCACAAATGCACCGAGATCTTATCCAAATAAGAGCAATACAATGAAGTAATGAGCCAATGTGGGGGACATGGTGGTGACGATCTAGATGGCGGGGAAGGCCTGTTGTTGTTAGACAGTGGCTATCCGGAGGTAAAGGCCGGAGAGGGATGCTTTGAGGAAGTTGAGGGTGGCTTGCATGGTGGTCACAGAATTGCGTATCTCCTGACATCTGAGAAAGAATATTTGTGGTGAGCGGGAGACAGGTATGCACCATGCGACACACACACACAACAGGTGAGTTCAAATCCGAACAACCACCTACCCAGCAGACCACAACTGAAAGGAATGCAAAGTTGCAAACTGTGATTAGGTCTCTGACAGGAGAAAAAACTTCAAAAAAGCAAAAAAAAAAGAAAAAAAAACATATATTCAGGGCATACAAAGCAGCAGCAGCATTCCATCGGCAGTGTCAACAAAAGTGCACAGGTGAGCCTAAAAAACACCCTGGCGCCACCCAAACCCACACCTGGACAAACAAACCCCCACCCACCCTCATTTGCACCCTTTTCCCTTCATTTTTTTGCGGGCGAAGCCGCAACAGGTAACCTTGTCACTTACATTATTATTGTTTGGTCAGGGAGTCTGCAGAGTGTAGAGGGTTTGGCCTCCTGATCAGTCAGCGAAACTCCACTGAAACAGTCTGTTACTACAGCCCCCCGCTTCTCGTTCTTTTCTGCCTTTCTGCCTATGGCCCATCGGGCAGTTCTCAGCATGGCTGTGCTGGCAACCGGCCGGTTGGACCGGCCCGGATCGAACAGGGCCGGTTGGAATTCCGGTTGGGTCCAAAAGTGGGTCAAAATTTTTTTTTTTTTTTTTTTTTTGAAAACATTTTTGGACTGCGCTCACCGAGATCTCCCCGAATCCGCAAAGAACACTTTGAACAGAGAAGTTTCGTTTGGGGGGTTGGGGGGGGGGTTATTTCAGGGGTTGAGGGTCGGGGGTTGGGGGGTTTATGGTGAGGGTGTTAGTGGTGGAGTTTCAGCACGGGCTTCAGCAGACATTGACAACAACGTACCTGGCTTTCTGCCCAAGAACTTTGAAGAGGGGGGTGGGGGTGTTAGTGGCAGGGTAGGGACGGTACTTCCCACCCAAAAACTTTGAAAAGGGGGGTAGGGGTTGTAGTGTTAGGGGGTGCTTCGTCCAAGTTGCCCTCGATGCTGGTAGGGTGATGGTCCTGAGTGCTGGTCACACTGGGGTGTTAGTGGCAGGGTAGGGACGGTGCTTCCCACCCAAAAACTTTGAAAAGAAGGGTGGGGGTTATAGTGTTAGGGGGTGCTTGTCACTGCTGTCTGGTGACTGCCCTCGATACTGGTAGGGCGATGGTCCTGACACGGAGGTAGGATAGTAGGGATAGGGGGTGCACTGGGAGCATTAACGTGGGGAAGGGTAGGGAAGGTGGCCTATCCTGTCAGGACAACCACCGGCTGCCGCTGCCGGCAATCACTGTGGGTCTAGTCCTTGGCCTCAACAACACCATGGGCTAAAAAAANAAAAAAAAAAAAAAAAAGGATGCGCTACAGCCAACCGGGGGGGAACCGGCCCGGTCGACCGGCCGGTAGGACCGGTCCGGTTCCGGTTGGGGGAGGACCCCCCGGTCCTACCGGGTTTTTAGCACTGGTTCTCAGTGAATTTATTATATAATACAATGTTAGTCTATGTATAAGCTTACAATTTACACCATACAATGGCATACATATTGATACAGCATCTGTTTTTGTTCTCACACCTTGCGTTTCCACGTTCCCACTCATGAATGCCATCCTGCTTGTTGCGATCGCGGTATGTTTTTCTCTGTATATGTGACAGATTTTGTCCCTTGATAAGCGCTATTTTGACCCCAGAAGACCCTTGATTCCTACGGCTGCTGACAGAGAGGAAGGGCTAATGCCGTATACAGACACTCTGCCCATTCCACCTCAGGTAACGCCAGAAATGTGACATCTTACCTTATGATTGTCCCCTTCTTGATGCGTGTTTTATTGTTCCATGGTGAAATGATTTAAGTACTCATCAAGTTCCAGCTCTGTTATGATTCTGGCCAATTTCGAAGTACACATTCATCAGAAAGTACAATGCCATCCAATTGCAAAAAGAAATGAATGAACTTGAGAGGAGAGAGGGAGGGAAAGAAGAAAGAAAGAAGAAGAGAAGATGATGTACACCAGCATAGACAAATGATAATGCCCTTCTTCTTTGCCAACCACTCTCCTCCTCCTTATCTGCTCCTCATCTCCTCCTCTCTTATTCAAATCTTCTCCTCCGTATCTCCTCCTCCATGTTGAATGGCTGAACCAGAATCCGTGCCCGAATCCCTCTTCTACTGCAGGCATCAGATGAGGTCCACCATAGCCATGGCCACCTTTCTTCCTCCTCTCGCGGCCGAGGCTATGGCGGACTACCAGGGCACCATCCTGCTCTGCAAAGGATAACACAAAGCAGCTATGGCTGCTCTAGCTCAGGCCGCCATGCCTGATCTCTGCCTCGAAGCTTCTTGGTGCAGCTCTACCCCCACGGGGGCCTTCCAGATGCAGCGCCCACCAAGGGGATGAAGATGGTATCCACCATAGCCAGGTAAGCACCTCGGGCGCTCTTCCCTCCTAGTCCTGGTCTTCTTCCTCCTCCTGTCCTGGCTCCTCCCCAGCAGCGCTGCTCCAGCCAGCGCTCCAACCAGTGTGTTGCCAAACTCGCACACCGACAACGAGGAGAAGCATCTTTCTCCTCCTGGAGATATAGCGGCCTGCTTGCCTCTTGGCGAGTGACTTCCTAGGCCGCGCGGCCTCCAAGCAACCAATACCTCCACCCTTTCGGAGGGAAACATCATTGCAGACTCTGATATTGCCTGTACAGGCCCTAGACTTCAGACTGGTTGGACTGGTACCCACCTAGACCTAGCCTACAACTACTGGGGCTCTAAAAATGCTAAAGTTTGTCTTCTTCTGCTCAGCCTCGAGTACCCGACGCATCGACCTCTACTTGGTGTGGTACCGGCCTACCTGCTACTTGAGTATTTTCCGCTGCTCTCAAGTGTCGCTGGCCTCTTTCCCCCACAACAACCCTCAATGTCATGGTGCTCGGCCTCGAGTACCCGGCACATAGACCTCTACTTGGTGTGGTACTGACCTACCTGCTGCTCTGTCGCTGGCCTCTTTCCCCGCCACTCGAGTGTTTTCCCTGCTGCAACCCTCAATGTCACGGCCACAGGTAAGTACCGGCCCTTCGGGTCTTTCGAACAAACAAGTGCCCTTGCGGGTCACACACAGACAAGCCGACAGGCACTCAGACAGGCATGCAGACTAGCAAGCACGCACCCACACAGACTTAGAAAACTTAGCAACAGGCGGGAAACTCAGTAAGGCATACATTCCATGAGCAAAACTCAGAAATCAGCAGTGTGTCTGAGTCTGTGTTTGGCAGGTCATTACACTACCCCCCTCTCAAGAGCGAGGTCCCTTCGAGCAAGTAACTCATTCCGATTCCCTGACAAAGGCATCATAAGCGAACATAGCAAAGAGATTTTATGAGTACTCAGTAACAGTGAGTTTTGCAGAATTTTTTGGTACAGCATTAGAGGCTATTTGTCGCTCGTATGCTTTGACGACATTGAGTTCCTCGGAAGAGAGGGATGAAGAGTTGATTGATTTGGAAGATGCATCGGGGTCCGGTGTAGTGAACTCGTCCGAGGAGGTGGTGGAGGTGGTGTCCTCGGAGGCGATGTTGTGGAAGAAGCGAGGGCAGGGAGGGGCCGATGTAAGTGCGGTCTTGTAGGGGGAGAGGATGCGATTGAGTTGGAGGGTACGAGTGAGGACGTCGGCGAGGGTCATGGGGGGCTCGCGGACAAGGGCGGCCGCTAGGTCTTTGCGGCATACGGGCTTAACGCGGGAGATGAAGGCGAAATCGCTGACGACATCAACGGGGATATGTTGACGAAGCAAGCGGACGTATTGCACAAATCGGTCGGTTGGGCCGTTTTGTTGGAGCCAACAGAATTGGTCGATGTAGTTGTCGACCGTTTTCTGTGGGCGGAAGGTGGAGGTGATGAGGGTGGCCCACTCAAGGAAGGTGTGAGGCCGGAGACCGGAGTGGTGGCGATTAGACATCTCGGTGTACCACCAGCGAGCCGTGTTGTCTAGGAGTCGGCTGCCAGCGATGGGAAGCCAGTGGATGACAGGGATGGCGTGGAGGAAGAAGGCTTGTTGGAGTTTGGTGAGGAAGAGGAGAACGTCCTCATGGGGTTGGCTCGAGAAGGTGGGGATCTCGTTGGCGCGGAATGATGGGGGTATTTTGCCTTCTCTGTTTGTAACGGCGGCAAGGGCATTGAAGTCGAGGGGGGGGGGGGGGGAGCCGACCAGGGTGAAATCATTGGCGGGGTTGGTGGGGATGAGTGCATTTGGGGGCAGTAGTGGAGGAGCGGGATACACAGCTTGTGGGATAATCTGTGTTAGTTGGGGATAGTTGAGGTGATAGTGGAGGTGGATAAGAGGGGTTTTGATTGGGGGGGGATGGTTGATGACTGAGTGATGGCGGGGGTTTTCGCCTTGGGCGAGAGGGGATGTGGAGTGGCCACGGTGGAGGTAGTGGTGGATGAAGATGGCGGTGATGTTGATGTGGAGGTTGACGCGGAGGCTTGTCCGGAGTAGGGGGTGGTTTGGGGTGTGGAGGAGGAGGGTTTGGTCGTGGTGACAACTGTGATGGCGGGGGTGTTTCCCTCAAGCGTGGTGACACGGTCGGAGATGGCGGCCATGGTGGTGTTGATGGTGTCAAGGGAGAATTGGAGGGCGGTCAACGTTCGGAGGAAAGTTGCGAGTTCCGGGGTGGTGGTGGTCGGAGTTGGCGGATTGCCTGCGAGTTTGCAGCCCCAATGTTGTCGACGGAGTCGGAGCGAAGATCAGACATGTTGATGGATGATTGACCCATGTTGGGGGAAGAGGGGGTGGAGGACGCGGCTGGAACAGATGTGGAGGATGTAGCAGCAGCAGTGGCGGCGGCAGCTGCAGCGGCGTCGGCCGCGGCGCTTTGGGAGTTCTTGGTTTGGCGTGGTGGCATGTGGGGATGGGGAACACAATTTCTTTATCAATAAATTCAAAATAAGGATAATTGCCGAGATTTCGAAGGGAATTAGGTTGGGGGTGGGGGGGAAGGGAAAGTGGGAATTAATTTTGAGTAAATAAATTTATTCCGACTAGGAATTTTATTTATTCGAAATTAATTCAAAATATGGGTAGAACAAAATTTTAGGAGAAAAGAAATTTGATCAACGAAATTTTCAAAAATAAACGCTTGAAGAGGTAATTAATTTCAAAAAAAAAAATTATGTTTTAGATTTAAATTTATTTACAAGAAAATGTGGAATTTCGAAAGAAAATATTTTTGAATTACGGAAGGAAAAAAAAAAAGTTTTCGTTGCAATTTTGGAAGAAATAATTCCAAAAGAAGTTCGAAATAGGAATTAATTCAAATGAATTTAAATTTTAGAAACGAACTAATTAATTAAAGGAATTTCAAGAAAATTTCGGAAGGAATTAGGAGTATATATAAAAGAGATTAATGCTAGAGTATTCAAGGAATTTCAAAGAGGAAAAGGAAATTCCGATTGATTAATTTCAAAATATTTCAAAGAAATTGCAAACTAATTTTGTAAAAATCAATTATTTTCAAGGTTCAAAAATTAGATTTCAGAAGAAATTTCGAAATTGCAGAAAAGGGTGATTATTTTCGAATTAATTTCGAGAATAGTTGAAGCAATGACAAAAAAGCAAATTCAAATTTTCCGAAAAGGATTAATAAAAACGTAATCGAATTGCGAAAAGGAGTTCCAAAGAAATTTGGAAAGAAATAAAAAGTATTCCAAAAAGAGATGAATTATTTAAAGAAATTGTGTAAAAGAAATTCGGAAATAATGAGCTTTCAAAGTATTAACTAAGTTTCAACGTATTGCAAAAGAAATTTCGAAGGGGCTGATCGCAGATTGTTACAGAAGTATTTTGAAAAAGATTTTAGGGATTAAAGTAATTAAGAAATTAACTAATATTTGATTGATGATAAACTAAGTGGGTGGAGGGGGAGAATGGGGTGCAGCGGGGGAAGAAGGTTCGCGTGCGGGGG